AAAAAAAGAAAAGAATGAATGAATGAAAGAAAGAAAAGACAGATTGAAAAAAAAAAAAAAAAAAAAAAAAAAAGAAAGAAAGAAAGAAAAAAAAATGAAAAAAAAAGACAGAATGAAAAAATGATGAAAAAAAAGACAGAATGAAAAAAAAATGAAAAGAAAGAAAGAAAGAAAAATGAAAAAAAAAAGAAGAAAAAAAAAGAAAAAAAAGAAAAAAAATGAAAAAAAGAAAAGAGAAAAAATGAAAAAAACAGAAAAAAAGAAAGACAGAATGAAAAAAAAATGAAAGAAAGAAAAGACAGAATGAAAAAAAATGAAAAGAAAGAAAGACAGAATGAAAAAAAAATGAAAAAAACAAAGAAAATGAAAAAAAGAAAAAAAGAAAGAAGAAAAAAAATGAAAGAAAAAAACAGAATGAAAAAATGAAAGAAAAAAAGAAGAATGAAAAAAAATGAAAGAAAAGAAGACAGAATGAAAAAATGAAAGAAAAAAAAAGACAGAATGAAAAAATGAAAGAAAAAAGACAGAATGAAAAAATGAAAGAAAAAAGACAGAATGAAAAAATGAAAGAAAGAAAGACAGAATAAAAAAAAAGAAAGAAAAAAGACAGAAAAAAAATGAAAGAAAGAAAGACAGAATGAAAAAAAAGAAAGAAAAAAGACAGAAAAAAAAAAAATGAAAGAAAGAAAAAAAAGATTGAAAAAAAGAAAAATGAAAAAAAAAAAAGAAAGAATGAAAAAAATGAAAGAAAGAAAGACAGAATGAAAAAATGAAAGAAAGAAAAGACAGATTGAAAAAAATGAAAGAAAAAAAAGACATATGAAAAAAATGAAAGAAAAGAAAGACAGATTGAAAAAAATGAAAAGAAAGAAAGACAGAAAAAAAAAAAATGAAAGAAAGAAAAAGAAAAGAATGAAAAAAAATGAAAGAAAGAAAGACAGAATGAAAAAATGAAAGAAAGAAAGACAGAATGAAAAATGAAAGAAAGAAAGACAGAATGAAAAAAATTTAAAGAAAGAAAGACAGATTGAAAAAATGAAAGAAAGAAAGACAGATTGAAAAAATGAAAGAAAGAAAGACAGATTGAAAAAATGAAAGAAAGAAAGACAGAATGAAAAAAATGAAAGAAAGAAAGACAGATTGAAAAAATGAAAGAAAGAAAGACAGAATGAAAAAATGAAAGAAAGAAAGACAGAATGAAAAAAATGAAAGAAAGAAAGACAGAATAAAAAAATGAAAGAAAGAAAGACAGAATGAAAAAATGAAAGAAAGAAAGACAGAATGAAAAAAATGAAAGAAAGAAAGACAGAATGAAAAAATGAAAGAAAGACAGAATGAAAAAATGAAAGAAAGAAAGACAGATTGAAAAAATGAAAGAAAGAAAGACAGAATGAAAAAAATGAAAGAAAAAAAAAGACAGAATGAAAAAAAATGAAAAGAAAGAAAGACAGAATGAAAAATGAAAGAAAGAAAGACAGAATGAAAAAATGAAAAGAAAGAAAGACAGAATGAAAAAATGAAAAAGAAAGACAAATGAAAAAAATGAAAGAAAGAAAGACAGATTGAAAAAAAATGAAAGAAAGAAAGACAGAATGAAAAAAAAAATGAAAGAAAGAAAGACAGAATGAAAAAAAATGAAAGAAAGAAAGGGAGAATGAAAAAATGAAAGAAAGAAAGAGAGAATGAAAAAAATGAAAGAAAGAAAGAAATGCCCTGCGTTTCCTTATGAGTAAATCTATTTAAAAACGGAAGATGATTGGGCGTAGCCTAGATGTGGCACAAATATGGAGAAGACAGTGAAGATCAAGCCCACTGTTCTGTCGTAATCGATCTAGCTAAATAAGCTTCGTAATCATTAACCACTTATAAAGTGCCCAGGTAAAAAAGGAAGGTAGAAGAAAGAGAGAAAGGTAGATTCTGTGTATCTTTACGAATAAAAGAAAGAAAGAAAGAGAGAGAGAGAGAGAGAGAAGGAGGGAGAATGAAAAACAGAAATAAATCGAGAAACAAATAAAAAGATCCTGCGTGTCATTACGACTAAAAACTACGACTTTAGCACATTTGATCCCCGCCCAGAAAGAAAGAGAGAGAGAGAGAGAGAGAGAGATTCTGCGTGTCTTTCCAAATAAAGCTAAGGCAAAAAAAAGGAAAGAAAGAAAAATAGAAAGAGAGAAATAAAGAAAGAAAGACAAAAAAGATCCTGTGTGTCTTTACATATAAAACTACGACTTTAGCGCATCTGATTCGCTAGAAATAAAGAAAGAGAGAGAGAGAGGAGACAGAGAGAGAAAGAGGAGAGAGAGATAGAGTGGGGAGAGAGAAAGAAAGAAAGAATGGAAGAAAGAAAGAAAGAAAGAAAGAAAGAAAGAAAGGAAGAATCGTGTGCCTCTTTACGAATACAAGTACTTTAGTGTACCTAATTCCCTAAAAAGAGAGAAAGAAAAAAAAAGAAAGAAATTCTACATGTCCTTATGTATAAAATATTCTGTGTCCTTACAAAATAAACTATGACTATGAGAAATAAAAAAGAAAGATTCTGCGTGTCTTTAGAAATAAAACTACGACGAAAGAAAGAAAGAAAAAAGAAAGAAAGAAAGAAAGATAGAAAGAAAGAAAGTTTCTGGGCGTCGTCATGGATAAAATCGCGATAAAGTATGTTTGATTACCCAGAAATCATGATTTTTCTTTCTGAGACAGGAAATGCATAAATAAATATCATTGGAGATATTATATGGAAAAAGTATCTGCTAGGAATAATGTCCTCATCTTTGTTGTTACGATCACAACATTTCTGCTCTTGTTCTCTACGGCTTTCTTCAGGTGGATGTTGATTCAAGGAATTTAGAAATGAGCACTAGAATAAGAAATACAGACAATTATAATGCCACTAAATACTAATTAACGTTCTAGTACCTGAATCCGCATGCTATCCTTTAATAGAACCAAATCAGGTGTAAAATGGAGTATTGTTGTCATATTTGGGCAGAAGCTTTTGAGTTCTTACTCTACAGTCCAAAAGCGTCTTCGAGTCCTTCACAGGTCGAATGTGACAAGCTCTATCGCCACTTCAATGGAAAGTGGTTGGGGAACTACATTCCTTGGTTCCACTAGTTCTAACCGTCACGGCTAGGATCCGCCGCGTCACTCACATTGTAACAAAGCATCCACATTTCCTTACATGTTCCATTGATGAGAACGAAGTTCTACTTGAACAGCTTCCTCCTGCGAACCACTGCTTTGGAAAACCGACTCCAACGATGTTTCTCCGAACACTACAATCTTTACCTGTTCAAGTCTACGATTAACCGTTATCTTTCTTTCCTATCCACATAAATTGCCTCTTAATGTAACCCTCTACCTTGAATGGTCACTGGGTCTTCTACAGTGTAAACTGTTATGGGGTCCTCCCCTTTTTCATACAAGTGGACTCGACCAAAGTGTTACTTGGACTGCTGCCGTTAAATACTCAGAGTCAGTCAGAATACAGAGAGTACAGATAGTAAGAAAACTGAGATTGTGGTTGAGTTGGAGGTAGAGTAATAGTGTGAGGTAACCGCTTGTAGAAGTCAGTTACAAGCACGTAGACTCTAAGGAAGTCCTACTTCGAGACTGTATATATATCTATATGTTATTGCTACTAACCTCGTTCCTGGATTTACTAACAATATTATCCTTTGTATTATTGTGTAAATACATTTAATTTCTTATCTTTATTTCTTGCGTTTGTCATTCATTGGAGACCGAATTTCATCTCGGAATCCACAACATAAACCTTATTGTAAAAAAATTTAAAAAGCAACTAACCCACGATTAAAACGTTTCGGGATTATCATTGGGATAATCTCAAGCTAGAACTGTGAGCTTTGAACCTAATATTTTTTGTAATATATTATTTACTAGAATATTTTGGCAACAGACTGACGTCTGTTGAAATCCTTACTGCATTTAGTATTCTTGCAATTATCGCTAACATTTTTTGTTGAGATCTACAAACTCTATATTTCATTCAATTTCGCAAACCAATCGATGAAATTTAAATAAGCTGATTTGTTTGGAAAATAAGCTGATTTCTTTGGAAAATACTTGGCAAAAACCATACATGTTTTTTACGCACCCTAGTAAAACCAACTGTACCCCACTTACCTGTTCGCACGTCTCCCCAAAATTTGGTTTCCATCTGTCAATGTACGTCAACTTAGAGGGTGTGACGAAAGGAAGGACAGACTAACGGAAGTCACAGAATTTTATATATAGATTTATTGCATTTTTCCCCGCTCTGTTTTGAGTTCAATTACAATGTCTGTCTTATTTTTGCAGTGGTGTAATAATCCTTTACTTGTTCTCTATTGCATTTTGTTAATTTCTTATTTGTTCATTTTTGCTGAAACTTTACAGTTTTATAATGAGTTTAAGATTTCTGCGAAAACATATTTTCCTTAATTCTTTCCGTGTTTCTCGATGTTTCCATGTGATTATTACTGTATACATACATAAATACATGATATCTGTCACCTCGTTGTTAAGTATGACCATTACAAAATATCATATAAGACCTAGCTGTGTTTTGAACAGACGTAGCTCTTTAAAGCGGACAAATTTTTAAAATCTATGACACAATATTAGCAGACATGAGCCACACTTCCTTGAGTAACATGGAGTGGTTTACAACTCTAGTATGTCTTACATTGAACAAAACATATATGTTAATGACAATCGTTTTGTGTACCTTGGCAGTACACTGTCTCAAGACGAGTCCCTTGATTCTGAACATGTACTTGAATTCAAAAACGCATTGGTTGTGTTTGGAAAATTAGAAGAAAAGTTTGTGGTCAGACTGAGGCATCACCAGTAGTACTAAAGTGACAGTTTACTAAAACTGTGTACTGACCGCCCTGTTGTACTATTCAGATATCTGGACGATTTGCTACCATCAGCTGAAATGGCTTGAGCGCTTTCATCAAAATTGTCTAAGGAGAATCCTTAACATAAAATAGCAGCCTATGATACCAGACACCACTTTTCTTCTCAGGGCCTGCTGTCCAAGCATAGAAAACATATTGACTAAGATGGATGACGGTAGGTTGCCGAAGCAGCTATTTTAGGGCGAGCTTGCAAATGGTAAGCGCCCTCAGCATAAGCCAAGAAAGAGATTTAAGGACTGTGTGAGGAATAACTTGAAAGAGCTTAGGTTGGGGTGATGACTGGGAAAACCTTGCTAGCGATCGCAATGAGTGGTTCAGGGCTGTTGTAGAAGGATGTAAGTCTAGAGGAAAAGAAATTAGCACATGCAGTACTGAAAAGCGATTTGAGGAAAGGTGTTACCAGGAGCTTGGATGACAGCACTGCAAGAGTGGAAATGCGAGACATGTGGTCGTATCCTACTGTCAAAAGCTGGGTATGTTAATCATCTGAAATCACATGAGAGACGACCTCACCCTGTGTTACCTCCACGACCCGGTGATACTGCATGTGTGATCTACAGGGAAGTACGTGAATCGACATCTGGATTGAAGAGGCATAAGGTAGTATACAAAGATAACCTACCACAGCAACATCCGCTTAACTCTGTGAAAACTCTGGAGCACGTCTGCCATTCTATGCTGTAGGCCTTGCAAATCAGTTGCCGGTTTGAGAGCCTACAACAGTCATTCGAGAAGAAACAATGATTGAATGTAGATGTTGACGTACAAGACGGCAGTCATCCCTGAAGATGGGGCAATCAATAGGACGAATCGCCAATTTTTTCGACAAGAACTTCAAGGAGGGCGAAGACATGGGAAAGTGTTTGTAAACCATACTACTTTTTGAACCATGTCTTGTAAGTGAAACTAGGTAGACGGAATCGTTTGAAAGAAGTCAATAATTGTGCTAACACGAAGTCACAAGTCATAGTGATCGAGGTTCCGAACGTACTGTCATTGTTCAAGAAACTGATCACGCCAGATAATGTGCTCTCTCCCAGAAACTGCAACAAAGGTCTGCTCAGCATAGTTGCAGTATAAACCACAAGTGTGCTCTGCAGATTGAACAGGTATCTGTAATAAGGTTTGGCTAGTCGCCCTGGCTTGTGGAGGTGCTCGGAAACGTGTAGTAGCCGGTCACAGGATGAAAAATAAGCCATATCAAAGAGCAGAACTCTTGATGAGTCAACGGCTAGCTAAATAGAGTTAGTGTCTTCATAAAGTCACCACTGGAGAAATCAAGACTGGTAGACCAGTCAAGGATCCACTCTACTGACAATCCCAAGAAAAATCATGGCAATGTAACTTTATATCAGTCAGTTATGTGCCATGTGTGATACACGCTTAGGCGATCAGGTATCTTTCGATATATAACTGACGATTTTTTTTCTCGCAGTAGGTTGCCATTTCTTTCTGCGGTTGACCAGTTGCCATCCAAGGCTATAGAACCCGGTCTGTCCTGCTATTTACCCGTAGCTGGGGGAAGGGAGGACTCATACCTTTTCCAAGGATATTAGCACGTATATGAATATAATGGATTCGACTGGAATTTGAACTCGGCTCTCCAATTCCGCAATCCGAGCCGCTATCCATTACTTTGCCGTGCCTTTATATATTTTATTATTTCCAGATTTTCGAGTGGACAGACGCACAAACTTTGAGCTTTATCTTTTAGATTAGTTTTGTAGACTTTTGATGTTAACTTTTCTAGCAGACGATAAATATTAAATAACCAACGATTTAAACTGCTTTCACTTTCTTGCATGATCAAAACCAACGCGAATGGGTCGATACGAATTCTTCTGTGTGGTGTGCCAAAATATATCCTCTATTTACACATTTAAAATTCAGGTTTTCCAATAATTACGATAAGGTAGAGCAATATTAAATGATCATCTTTTTGAATGATGGATATTTTATTCATTCTACGAGTATCTGCGCAGATACGAAATATGTAAGCTTTTTTCTATTTGTCATGTCACTCTTGAAATTTTTTCGATAAATCCTACGTTTTATATACGCAATCATTAGAGCGAATGAAAGACTTGATGTATTTGTTCAATAAATCCTGTTATGTATGTAATCGCTAGCCTGAATAGATTGGAAGTATTTGTTTAATAAATCCTTTTATGTATAGAATCGCTAGCCTGAATAGTTTGGAAGTATTTGTTTAATAAATCCTTTTATGTATAGAATCGCTAGCCTGAATAGTTTGGAAGTATGTTTAATAAATCCTTTTATGCATAGAATCGCTAGCCTGAATAGTTTGGAAGTATTTGTTCAATAAATCCTTTTATGTATGCAATCGCTAGCCTGAATAATTTGGAAGTATTTGTTTAATAAATCCTTTTATGTATGCAATCGCTAGCCTGAATAGTTTGGAAGTATTTGTTTAATAAATCCTTTTATGTATGTAATCGCTAGCCTGAATAGTTTGGAAGTATTTGTTTAATAAATCCTTTTATGTATGCAATCGCTAGCCTGAATAGTTTGGAAGTATTTATTTAATAAATCCTGTTATGTATGCAATCGCTAGCCTGAATAGTTTGGAAGTATTTGTTTAATAAATCATTTTATGTATGCAATCGCTAGCCTGAATAGTTTGGATGTATTTGTTTAATAAATCCTTTTATGTATGCAATCGCTAGCCTGAATAGTTTGGATGTATTTATTTAATAAATCCTGTTATGTATGCAATCGCTAGCCTGAATAGTTTGGAAATATTTGTTTAATAAATCCTTTTATGTATGCAATCGCTAGCCTGAATAGTTTGGAAGTATTTGTTTAATAAATCCTTTTATGTATGCAATCGCTAGCCTGAATAGTTTGAAAGTATTTGTTTAATAAATCCTTTTATGTATGCAATCGCTAGCCTGAATAGTTTGGAAGTATTTGTTCAATAAATCCTGTTATGTATGAAATCGCTAGCCTGAATAGTTTGGATGTATTTATTTAATAAATCCTTTTATGTATGCAATCGCTAGCCTGAATAATTTGGAAGTATTTGTTTAATAAATCCTTTTATGTATGCAATCGCTAGCCTGAATAGTTTGGAAGTATTTGTTTAATAAATCCTTTTATGTATGTAATCGCTAGCCTGAATGGTTTGGAAGTATTTGTTTAATAAATCCTTTTATGTATGCAATCGCTAGCCTGAATAGTTTGGAAGTATTTATTTAATAAATCCTGTTATGTATGCAATCGCTAGCCTGAATAGTTTGGATCTATTTGTTTAATAAATCCTTTTATGTATGCAATCGCTAGCCTGAATAGTTTGGATGTATTTGTTTAATAAATCCTTTTATGTATGCAATCGCTAGCCTGAATAGTTTGGAAGTATTTGTTCAATAAATCCTGTTATGTATGAAATCGCTAGCCTGAATAGTTTGGAAGTATTTGTTCAATAAATCCTGTTATGTATGAAATTGCTAGCCTGAATAGTTTGGAAGTATTTGTTTAATAAATCCTTTTATGTATGCAATCGCAAGCCTGAATAATTTGGAAGTATTTGTTTAATAAATCCTTTTATGTATGCAATCGCTAGCCTGAATAATTTGGAAGTATTTGTTCAATAAATCCTGTTATGTATGAAATCGCTAGCCTGAATAGTTTGGAAGTATTTGTTTAATAAATCCTTTTACGTATGCAATCGCTAGCCTGAATAGTTTGGAAGTATTTGTTTAATAAATTCTACTCGTTTGCTACGTAATCATTAAAGAACGCAAAAGATAAGATATCGATTTAAGGCAAATCTAAACGAAACCCTACTTGAGAAGCGAAATGTGTGTTTGCGATATTTTAAAAACACCCCCATAATGGAATTACTACTTCTCCCATAATTTTGTCTTGTGTTATTCTTGTTTTCTGATTGTTGATTGCAGGGCGCTTTTCAACCAAAAGTTTATGGACACGTTGCAGCTACTGAACATGCGTGTTTAATATTTCTGTGCGTTTTAAGACCGGTAAATATATATATTACCCCGGCGGACAGAACAACATTTTTCGTTTAATCCACTATGCATGCTACCACTACCGTTTAAAAACTAATGTATTTTATGGTACGTTATATTTATTCTTAAAAATGTATCTTGCATTTACAGCATATGTCATTTATTTTCTTTAACATAACATCCAATATTAAATACGTAAACACAGAATTGTATATATTCTAATAAGTTAATAACACCGATTGCGAAATTGTAATCTTTTTTCGTTCTTTTTAAAGATTTACAAATGGTTCTTTCTTTTTTTTTCTTTTTGTTTTGTTTTTAAGTCTTCGAAGAAAGGAGTAAAGATCAGTTTCAAGAAGACAGACAATATGCATGGCTGTTAGTAAAACGAACAACTCAACGTGCAAATTACAAATTGGAGATACTAAAATCAAACAATTGCAACGTTAAACAAAAAGTGTTTCATTAAATCGGATCTAAGTCAGCAGTAAATAAATCAGTGTTATTGGTGAAAATTTATTTATTTTTCTATTGGATCATGTTATTTAAGTGTTGATAATTATGTGTGAAAAATAATATCACCCAAATGTCCGCCAAATCTGAAAGAAAAAGAAAAAAATCATTAGACGCTTAAACTTAATTCACATTAAAATAGGTTCAAGTTATTGGAACACCATTTATCTTGGAAGTATTGTAACAGAAGACAGAAAGTACGACACTGAAATCCGAAGACGCATTGGGATAGCCAAAGATGCATTCCAAAAGCTAAGCAGAGTATTAAGAGACAGAAAAAAATCGATAAAACAAAGATAAAAATCGATAAAACAAAGAAAAGAGTACTGATAGCTCTTTTTTTGCATATGGTAGTGAATGCTGCGCAATTGCCTCAAAGATGAAGAAGTAACTTGAAGCAACATAAATGTGGACATACAAGTGAACATAGAATTGTATATATTTTATTAAGTTTCAAAAATCAGCAATGACATCAGTTGCGAAATTGAAACATTTTTTTTTCTTTAGAAAATTCTTCGAAGGACGCACAACATCAATAGTAAGGAGGCAGAAGGCATAGATTTTAGCAAAAAGGGCAAGCCCAACATGCAAATTACAAACTGGAGATACCAAAGTTAAACAAGTATAACAATTTAAAGCGTTTTAACACGGGGCAGAATGTGCCACACTGAAATTCTAAGGGGATAGCGAAAGATGCCTTCCAAAACTAAGCAAAGTATTAAGAAACAGAAAAATGTCATTAGAAACAAATAAATGTGGCAGTGATTGCTGGACAATCTATGCACAGATAAAGAAGAAAATTAAAGCAACAGAAATGTGGTTCCACTAAATCGACCGAACAAGTGAGCAACGACGAAGTATTTAGAGAAAATGGAAACAAAAAAGACACTTACACTTAACACCAGGAAGAGGCGGTTAATATTTCTAAAGCAGATAATGAGGAAAGACGATTTGGAAAATTTGATGCTAACAGAATAGATTAAGGGAAGAAAGAACAGAGGAAATCAACGTTTAATTTATCTAGGATGCTTGTGCAAATAGATGGCGAATCAAGGTTTAGAAATGATAAAAAATGTAAAAAAAATTATTAAGAGCAACAAAGGATAGGAAATTGTGGAGAGTCGTGTTCGTTAACGCCCTGAATGGGCACGGCGCGTAAAAGAAGAATATCTTACGATACTATGTTATCAAATGTAACGTGACAGGCTCATCATTTTCCTTTAAATTGCCTTAAACGTATTTTATTTTTACGGTTATTCTAAGATGACCAAATTTATGATTAAGGCGTTTTCTTAACTTGCTATTTCTGTTGTTTTATGAATTTTTTTCATCCTGTACAATTCTCGAGAGCCACTTGATATAGAGGGTTGCAGAATAAGAGCCACAGTTTATGTGGATATAAGGGGAAAATAACGGTTAACCCTAAACTATTATTAAAAGGTTAAGATTCCAGTGATCGAGGAAGCATTCTCATGGAAATTGGTTCCACAAAGCAACGGTTCGTGAGAATAAGCTGCCCGAGAAGCACTTATAACTCACCAATGGAATACGAAGGTGATGTAAAATACGGCAAGATTGTGTTGAGGCTAACCGATTGCTTTTCCAAGAACTACGGAGAAGAGAAGAAACAAAACATTGTCTCAGAAACCCCAGCTCGGCGGGCGCATAGAACTTTAGAAGCACAAGGGAACTACTTCACCAGACACCGAGATATGCCAACTGCACCCTGCTGACTGTCCCATCGTTTTATTGGCATGAGACAGCTCAATCTGAATAAGTTGCAGAGAGGCCCGTATTCAGACATGCCAAGCTGTTCCGCTGCTAACGAGGGAAACTCGGATTAACTAGTTCTAGCACACAACTCGGGGCATCTTTTGTATCTGTACTGACACGCATTCGCCACGGAAGGAAATAAAGCTTGTTCACTACTATGGCATGGCGTGTTTGATCCATAAATGTTAGAACTAAGGAATGTAGTTTGTTTGAACACTTTCCATGGAGATAATACTAGTATAAGATTTCAGCAGAAATACTGCCGTGACAGCTACACTCTTTTCCTAGTGTACCCATGCCTGAAAATGTTCGCAATTTTTAGAAAATTTTAATAGTGTGATATAGTGGGACAAAAGTCTTGAAACAATATATTGTGATTCAATAAAGCAGAATTTTCTTTTATGTGCCATGTCCCTTCAGGACGTAGGCAATCATGGCTCACCACTTCCCCTTATATCTTGTTACTCTCAATAAGTTTTCTTCTTTTGCTATTTCTCCCAAACCACGTTGCTTAAACCCGCTAGGTATGTCACGGTTGCTTTCCCTTGTCTCTCTTTTCCTATATTCGCCCTGTGAGTATCAGATTCTCCAAGCCCTGTTTTCTCATTACGTGTCCCAGAAATTTCAGCTGCCTCTTCCTGATATTATGTATAAGCTTCCTCCTTGTTTGCACTATCTCCAAAACATCATGGTTGCTCACATGCTCGGTCCATGATATCCTTAGCATCCTTCTGTAGATCCATACCTTCGTTGCCTCGAGTCTCTTCTTCATCTTTGAGGAGTCCGTCCAACATTCGCTGTCGTAAAGGAGGACATATATCACATAGCAGTTCAGTACTCTTTTCTTTGTTACTAACGAAATCATCATGTCTAGTAATACTCTACCTAGCTTTTGCAATACTATTCTTAGTCATCCCAATAGTTCTTCGGATCTCAGCGTCGCACTTACCGTTCTCTGTCAGAACACTTTCCAGATATTTAAATTTCCGCACCTGCTTGATTTTAGTGTCTCCGACCTTTAAATCACTTTCGGGTTCATCTTTTTGCTGATGACCATGCATTCTGTCTTCTTGTAGCTTATGCTTAGTCCCTTCTTCTTGCTCTCCTTCGGTACCTTCTGTAGGAGGTTTTATATTTTCTTGCCCTGTCTGGTATCAACACTGTATCATCTGCGTCTCTTATGCTGATAAGATTGTGGCCGCCAATGATAAATCCCGGTAGGATTCGAATTCTCTCAGAAACCATGTGTTGGCTATTACTTGGTCAATGGCTGCACACCATTCTATCCATTTTTTCTCCACGTTCGTTCCGGGTTCTTAGCCCTCTCCCTGCCTACTTTGGCGTTCAGGTATCCCATAATAATTATGACTTCTTGCGATTTGCAAAGAGCCTTGGCATTATCTAGCATGGAGTAGAAAGATTCGATTTCTTCTTCTTTACTTTTTGAGACTATTATGGTGGCTACGTTGAAAGGCTTTCCTTTCAGTTTGAGTACTAGACTTCTTTCTGATGATTCGTAGTATCCCAGAACACTTGATCTAGTATAAATCCTACTCCTTTTTCTTTTCACCTGCATAAATAATCCTGTGAGTTTCATTGAATAATCATCGTTGTTTGGCCATCTAGTTTCACATACACCTAAGATGTTGATTTTTAGCCGACTCATCTCTTGTATTACATTATCTGATTGGCCGCAGTTGTTCAACGTCCGAATGTTCCATTGTCCCGAGAGTTATTTTTTATGCGAGCAGTTGCAAGATAACGGTCCGGTGACACTTGTCGTTCATATCGCTTCTTTCCTGGCGTGGAATTGGTTCCGAGGAAATTGTATTCCCTTTACACCGTTTGTGCTAGCAGTCGCTGGATGACGGTCAGGTGACACCTGTTGCACATATCTGTGAGCAAAAGGTTTGTGGATCAATCAGATATGGGATATATATATATATATATATATATATATATATATATATATTGCAATAAACGTGCAATCAATTTACAAATACATGAATTATTCATACAAAACTAATTTTTAATAGCATTTCGGATACAATACACATATATTTTCGATGTCCTCTTATTACTAAGAGAAAAAACCAAGAACAACATCTATTATATACCTGACGATGTCTGTAGGAACAGACGAAAGCTTGTAGTAAAAATAACAACTAATACGGCAGAAATTTATATAAACAAGGATCAACTCATGCATAACGGATTTAGAGGTTTTTGTGTAATATTTGAATCGTTTGCAAGATGGATGTCTCGCCATTTAAATCATTAACCTTTGCATTAGTTTTGTATGAATAATTCATGTATATATATATATATATATATATATGGAGTAGGCATTCCATTGTTGAAATGTTGGAGACTAAACTGGCTACCCCTCTCCAAGTTCTTGTTAGCAAGCCAGTAGGAGTGAAAAAAAAGACCTAACAAAGGGCAGAATAGATAGATAGTAGAGGGCAATGCAACTTATAAAAGAATAGAATGAAATGACTAAGATTTTTAGTTTTTTTAAGTTTTAACTTAGTATAAGTTTCATTACCCACTATTAAACCAATACGCAATTATCCAGTAATTATTTTAGAGTCAAACAAGTCACCAAAACCTGAAGTAAGCCAGACTGTATACGATATATATGCGTACATGTGCAAAACCTAAATTTACACATTAATCTAACAGGTCCAAAAATAAAAATAAAAATACATCCAAACAATATCATGGGAAAAGTGATTCTTAATATTTACAATTGGAATTTCATGTTAATCTTGCTAACCTGGAATCAATGGTCATTTAGTGAAAAGCGTGGCAGACTCTAAATACGTCTCCATTTCAGGGACCAAATGCGCACGGTTGGATAGGTTAGGGAGATGGGAGGCCAAACAAAGATGAAGTCACTTTTGTCGTGGAGGGGACTTCAATCATTAAGAATGGCGACTTTGCGTTCCAAATAAAATAATACAAAGAAAAAACTTTTTTTCTTCATTTTCCGGACATTTTATCGAGCAAATAGAGTCACAAAGAATAAGCAACTGAAATTGAGGCCAATGAACCGTTTAATTAATTCGGTCCCTTTATATTTTTTAGATGTTCACGGGTATCTATGATTCATTGATTACTCCCGGTATTATATAAACCGCATTTTGTTCAATATCTTTTCATATTAAAAATGTTATGTGTTTAATATAACAGTGAAATTGAAATATATCTTAGAAGAAAAAGATTAGCAACAAAGCGACAAAGACGGCGACGACAAAGACGGCGACGACAAAGACGGCGACGACAAAGACGGCGACAACAAAGATGGCGACGAGAAAGACGGCGACAACAAAGATGGCGACGAGAAAGATGGCGACGAGAAAGATGGCGACGACAAAGACGCCGACGACAAAGACGGCGAAAACAAAGACGGCGACGACAAAGACGGCGACGACAAAGACGGCGACGACAAAGACGGCAACAACAAAGATGGCGACGACAAAGACGGCGACAACAAAGATGGCGACGAGAAAGATGGCGACGACAAAGACGCCGACGACAAAGACGGCGACGACAAAGACGGCGACGACAAAGATGCCGACAACAAAGAGGCGACGACAAAGATGGCGACAACAAAGCCTATTTCAAGACCAAGTTTAAACAAGACGATCACTTAATAGACAAACGATTTATTTTGCACGGGAACTAATTTGATCTAAATGCAGATAAAATATTTGATTTTGTATAGATAGTTAAAACGAGTAAGGCAAGTAAACACTCACATATTTACTAATTTAAATTGACTTACCTCCCTTCACACT